ATTTGCAGTGGGAAACATCAGGTTGGAAAAAATGTAGGGATTTACCTCTTCATCTTTCCAAAATTATTTTCAGAAACTACTCTCAGTGAGTTGGTCAGACTCCAGTTGCTTAAATAAAAATAGACCAGAAGTTCTTTAATATATTTAAGGAAGTTAAGGACATTATTGTATATATATGTGCATACACACACACACACAGGGGTGGACAAAAGTAGGTGTACAGTTTGTATGGAAAATACAATAATTATAAATAATAATAAAGGGATAAATTGTTTTGCATACCCACAAATGTAGACCTACTTTTGCCTTCCCCTGTATAATATAATATATACCTATATGAATATGTATTATTATTTTTTATTTTAAAAGTAATGTAACCACACTTAGAAAAATTGAAATGAATGGAAAAGGTCACCCGCATCTACCTGTAGTCTTACAATGACTTTTGACATTTTTGTGTTTCCTTTTTAAAATATTTTTTAAATCATCTAATTTTTAGTTATAGAGATAATAGTGTCTCTGAAATGTTGTCTTCTGCTTTTTTTACTCTAGTAAACAAAAGAAAACTTTTACATACATTTTATTGATTATGCTATTACAGTTGTCTCTATTTTCTGCCCTTCACCGCTCTCCACCCAGTCCCCATTCCCTCCAGCAATCCCCTCCCTTAGTTCATGTCCATGGATCATGCATGTTCATTGGCTACTCCATTTCCTCTACTGTTCTTAACATCCCTCTATTTTGTACCTACCAATTCTTAATCCCTGCATATTTTCCCCTATTCTTCCCCTTCTCCCTCCCAACTGAAAACCTTCCAAATGAGATCTCCTATTTATGATTCTGTTCCTATTTTGCTTGTAGTGTTTTTTTAGATTCAATTGTTGATAGTTGTGAATATTGCCATTTTAATGTTCATAGTTTTGACCTTCTTTTCCTTAGATAAGTCCCTTTAACATTTCATATAATAATGGCTTGGTGGTGATGAACTCCTTAAGCTTTGCCTTGTCGGGGAAGCACTTTATCTGTCCTTTAATTCTAAATAATAGCTATGCTGGATAGAGTAATCTAGGTTGTAGGTCCTTGCTTTTCATTACTTTGAGTACTTCTTGCCAATCCCTTCTAGCCTGCAGAGTTTCTTTTGAGAAATGAGCTGACAGTCTTAATGGGATGCCTTTGTAGGTAACCACCTGCTTTTTTCTTGCTGCTCTTAAGATTCTCTCTTTAACTTTAACCTTTGGCATTATAATTATGATGTGGTGTGGTCTCTTTGGGTCCATCTTGTTTGGGACTCTGTGTTTCTTGGACTTGTATATCTATTTCCTTCACAAAATTAGGGAAGTTTTCTTTCATTATTTTTTCAAATAAGCCTTCAATTCTTTGCTCTTTCTCTTCTTCTTCTGGCACCCCTATGATTCTAATGTTGGTACATTTGAAGATGTCCCAGAGGCTCTTTAGCCTATCCTTGTTTTTTTGGATTCTTTTTTCTTCTGTTTTGATTGAAATTTTTTTCTTATGTCCCAAATAATTGATTTGATCTCAGCTTCATTTACTCCACTGTTAGTTCCTTGTAAATTTTTCTTTATTTTACTTTGTGTAACCTTCATTTCTGCCCAGGTCTTTTTTATGCAGTACCCAATGGGTTCCGTGAGCATCCTCATAACTACTGTTTTGAACTTTGCATCTGATAGATTGCTTATGTCCATTTCATTTAGTTCTTTCTGGAGTTTTGTTCTGTTCTTTCATTTGGGCCATATTTCTCTGTCTCCTCATTTTGGCAGCCTCCCTGTTTGTTTCTGTGTATTAGGTAGAGCTGCTTTGAATCCTTGTCTTAGTAGTGTGGCCTGTTGTAGAAAAGCACATAGTTAGCTGGATGGGCTGAAGCCTTAGTTAATTGCCAGGGTGGAGCAACCTGACTCACTGCTCTGTGGCTCTTTGTGAGGGAGGGCTCAGAGAGGGGACAATGCTGCTGCCTGGCCTCTGGAGTTTTGTCTGGAGGAAGCTGCCTTTGGCACTCACCTGGATGCCAGACACTTCAGTTTCTCCCTGTGTGCCACTGGTGCCCTTCCAGCTGTTCCCCTGGTGCTGAAGCCCAGAGGGAATGAGTCTGCATAAGTCCTAATTCCACTGCGGGCCCTTTAAGAGAGATTCCTGAGAATCCTGCTGTTTGATCTCCTGCCCCAATCTCCACTGATTTGCACAGCCAGAAGTTATGGGGATTTATCTTCCTGGCACTGGAACCCTGGACTGGGTGGTCTGGTGTGGGACTGGAAGGGATGGAGGGATCCTTCCCAGTTTTTATCTACCAGATGTAGGTGTGGGACCGCCTGTTATGTGTCTCCGCATCTCTGCGCCTATCCCAGCGGCTCTGCATCTCCGCCCCTCCTACCCATCTGGATGATTGTGGCTTCTTTAACTTCTTGGTCGTTGGGCTTCCATACCGTTCGATTTTCTGATGATTCTGGGTGATATTTGTTTCATAGTCTACTTGTAATTTTTTGCTGTGGTTGTGCGAGGAGGCCAGCTGCATTTACCTACATCTCCATCTTAACTGGAAGTTCTACTTCTCACAATAAAATTTTTGATGAAAACATGCTAGAGCTTTATTTCTGGAAGAGTTGATCATTAATTTTTATGACTACATTTTAAAAGAGTGGTTGAGATAAAAATGCACCAGTACCCAGGAAGAGGGTGTTCTAGAGAGAAAGGCAGATGTGTAAACAGAAATTCTGTAAGAGGCGGGAAGTACACTCTACAGTGGAAATGCAGAAGAAAGGCAGAGAATGGTTGATTTTGGGGAAAGAGTTCACTAACAAGGTGATATTTGATCTGAATTTTTGGGACGGATAAGACTTTGCAGAGAATGGGGACAGGATTTCTGTAAAAAATAAAGAGTCTACAAAGTCAGAGAGGTGGCAAAGAATTTGACTTGGGAGGGTGCACGTAATTTGGAATTCAGGAGACCAGAGGGACTGATAGCGAGGAGGCTGGGCAGGTGGGCAGTGGCTGGATGGTGTGGGCCGAGACTGTATGTGAAGGGAGTTAGGTTGGATCCATTAAAGCCATTGGGTAATTTTGAGCAGCAGAGGTCTTATAACTTATTTGTATTGCAAGCTGTTCCCTCTGATGGTAGTGTGGAGGATGGATAGATTACATTTGTGAAGGACAGACGTTGAGAAGGGGATGTGTTAGATATTTAAGGGTGTGTCAAGAGGAATTTGAAACTAGTGCTATGTTATATGGCAAGTTTACATCTTTACGGCACAAATGGGATGTACTGGCAACTTTTAGAGGTACATGACATGGCTTCTGGTCAGCATCAGGGGTAATGTCGAGGGCTGCTGTGTATGGTTGTGCAGATTGTTCACTGCTCACCAGTGCCTGGCGAAGGAGAGGGCCAGGAGGACTTGCCAAGCTGTGAATCCTGGCACGGGCTGTATCCACCAGAGGAGATTCTGGTTTCCTAATAGCACAGAAGCTAACAGCAGACGTAGCTAAAAGCAAATAGCTAACGGCAGCCCCATTAACTCCCTTTTCTCAGACTGGGCCCAGAATGAATTTCTTTAGAATAAGCAATGAGATAAAGTATCAAGGCAACAGTCAAAGTTCCCAATACGCTTCATCCGAGAGAGCAGTAAGCAACATTAAGCTGCTCTGCTTTGAGCCTTCCAGAAAGGTGTTATTTCCTCAAAGGTCTGAGAAGCCTGGGATCCTCAAGCAAAGTCCAAGCCCAGTCCTTGTGGGAACAACTGGACAGCTACCATTAGGAGTCGTGATGCCTAGCCATAAGCCTGTTGCCTCACTGGAGGCCCATTCAGTGGTCATACATACAACATCCAACATGCAAGCAGTCTTCTTAGACCCAGAGAGAACTCACTCAGAAATTTTGTAATATTCTATGTTTTGTCTCCCTTGTGGTGAAATGTATGGTTTGGTTGTGGGGAAAGGCACACACAAATCTTGGTGTGATTTAGGTGAGAACAATTAGAGCAATAGTCACCTTTGTTAATCCCAGTGATTTCTCACAAAAAAACCCCAAACGGTAATTTTTTAATTTCTTGGCAAATTTTGGTTTCTCGTCTAAAAGAAGGTATGACCGGGGTCTCCTGGAAGGGACCCTTACAGAGTTTGCCATCATCAAGCACTGTTACAAGGAGGTACCTTCTTGGGCAGGGCTTGATGTGTATGGTTACTTGCACTTAACTTTGTTTCTCTAGGATGTAACCAGGCAGAGGTGGGCAGGCTGTGGGTCTGCCGGCCCAAACAGGCAGCCCTATGAGCTAAGAGGGATTTTCACATTTTTAAAGAGTTGAAAAAAGTCAACAGAATAATATTTTGTATTATATCATAGTCACATTCCAGTGTCATAAACAACCCACAGGATTTCTTTTCGCCCCTTTGTAATCCTGCTCTTCTGTTATTTCCTGTCCCTTGTCCTCCCTAGCAAACCCTGATTGGTTTTCTGGTACTATAGATCAGTTTGAATTTTCTAGAGTTTTATGTAAATGGAATCCTACGGTAAATACTTTTTTTTTTTTTGGTCTGGTTTCTATCACTTAGCAATGTTATTTTGAGATTCGTCCATGTTATCGTGTGTATCAGTAGTTCATTCCTTTTTATTGTAAGGTTATACCAGAATTTGCTTATTCATTTACCTCTTGATGAGCATTTGCCCTTTTCCCTGTTTTTGACATTTGCAAAACAAAACTTCTATGAATATTTTTGTACAAGTCTTTGCTTTCTTTTCTTTGGCTCTCTCTTAACAATAAGCCAGAGCCCATGATAAAATCTGCTGGAGTAAAGTAGTGTTTTCATGTGAAGTAAATCTTTTTTTTTGTTCAAGAGTAACCATTTATTCTCTTTAAGAGTTTATGTGCTGAGTCCATTTACTTGAGTAGTACAGTCACTGTCAAATATACAGTTGGAATGTTTGTTTCTGTTAATCATATAGTGAAATTTAAATAAAACATTGCTTTTCTCTCTTTAAACTTTACTCTGTTTAGAACTATTTTGGTGGAAAACTCTCTGCTCAAGGAAAAATGCCTTGGATTGAATATAATCATGAAAAAGTTTCTGGCACAGAATTCATAATTGACTTTCTGGAAGAGAAACTTGGAGTGAATTTAAACAAAAACCTTGGGCCTCATGAGAGAGCCGTCTCCAGGGCGGTGACCAAGATGGTGGAGGAGCACTTCTACTGGTGAGTCCCCGGGGTGTTGGGCGGGGCTCAGTGCCTGGCCCCACCCCCCAGAATAAGCCAAGTTCTGTGGTGCTTTTGAGATACTCCCCAACCCTTTCCTTTTGAAAGTAAAACTTTTCAAAAGTTTTCTGCACTCTGACTGACTTAGGAATCAAACCTATGACTGTTAATTTTCTAGGTATCTAGAGCAGGGTCAACGTTTTCTGTAGAGGCCCTGCTAGCACATATTGTAGGCTTTGTGCACCACATGTCTCTGTAGTAACTACAGTTGACCCTTGAACAATGTGGTGATTAGCAGCACCAACACTCCGCGCAGTCGAAAATCCACATGTAATTTTGACTCCCTCAAAACGTAACTACTAATAGCCTACTGTTGACTGGAAACTTTACCGATAACATGAACAGCCAATTAACACATATTTTGTATTGTATACTGCATTCTTACAATAAAGTAAGCTAGAGAAAAGAAAGTGTATTAAGAAAATCGTATGGCAGAGAAAGTACATTTATTGTACAGTACATATTTATTGAAAAAAATCCACATGTTAAGTGGGCCCATGCAGTTTAAACCCATGTTGTTCAAGGGTCAACTGTACTCAACACTGCCCTATGGTTGTCCTGGGGAAGTGGCCGTAGATGAGATGCAAATGAATAAGCGTGACTGTGTTTCAATAAAAACACAAATTTGAATTTTATTTAATATAAAATGTTATTATTTTTCATTTTTTAGCCTCAACCATTTAAAAATGTAAATTTCTTACCCTATGGGCTATAGTTGGCTGACCGTGATCTAAACTGGCACTCACTGAGGTGAGGGAGATATGTTAATAGGCTGGGCTGTTCACCAGTACAAGCTGCTGAATTAAAATAACATTGCATCAGATACCCAGAGGAGGGAACAGAAAACTAAGACAGAAGAAAAGTCTTAGGTGAAATAAATTACACAAGCTTTGTAAGATTATGGTGAGTTTTACTTAGAGGACGAGAGCACCTCTATATCCAGGAGTAAAGCATGCTGCTGCTTTCTGCGTGTCTTTGCCCTGATTACCCGACTGCTGGCTTGTAGTCCCCAAGTCTGAAGCGTCACACACTGTGCTGATGAGTTGCCCGTCCTGCACATGGCGCTGTGCTGGCTGTGACACCGTGGGAGTTAAATAGACACGGTTATTCTTGCTTTACAAACTCATTGTCATCTGGGTTTTTTTTTCCCTTTTCTTTCATCCATTTATTGGGAGTCATAGTACCCTTCTATATCCCAGTAGATAAGAGAAGTCTTTTCTCAGATTCCTGCCAACTTTATCTTGTTCCAAAGATTGAATTAACAATTGTTAAGCTTGCATTTTTGGCATTAATTGTTCCTCTTGGGTCAGCAGCTCACCCAGTAGCTTTTTCCTCCCCCACTGGGAGATGCGCTCAGTGTGGGGGTGACTGTGGAAGGTTCTTCCTCTTCACCTTCCTATTTCATTCACTCAGCTTTCTAAATAGAAAACTTGTTTTGTCTTTTGGATTTTCAGTGACCCTCTATTTCTCTTTTCATCTTTCTGCTTTCAATTCTTGCTCACTTCATTCCAGGGCCGACCTGAAGACCCAGGCACTGCTCTTCCCCTGTCACGACAGCGGCGAGGTGGGCGGGAGCAAGGAGGGGAGCAGGCAGAGGTGCGGGTCTGTGTGGGAGAAGTGGCAGGCTGTGTTCCGGAAGGAACCCGGCTCTTTTGCTTATGGTAGCACCTGTCGAGAACTGCTGGGCTTCCCTTCCCAAAGACTCTGCAGGGTTTTGCAGTGAGGACCAAAATGTATGACTACGTGTGACATGCGTAGCTTCAGGGAAAAGCCTGTGGGACTGAGCCAGTCTCACCTGTTTGCCAGGTTCCAGTCACTGCTTTGCAGCGCTTAAGGGAAATGAAGAACCAGCACGGGGCCACCCTGACCCTCGTGCCACCGTCTTTGATTGATGGGCCCATTAATGGGGAAAGCTAGCACTTTGTCAGCTGCCTGAAAGGAAGCCTAAAGCTTTATATTGGTTGGTAGTTTTGTTATAACTCTTTGATTTCTGAAGCGGTTCATTAAATTTATATTCCAGTTGGAAAGACTTCTATTCAGAAAGATTCCTAAGTACTCCCTGTCACTGCTGCTTTCTCTGGGTGTGTGGGCCATTTTATATATATTTACTTCATGGTAGAAGTTCATCATCTGCTCGTCCCTCCCCTTCTCTCTCTACAAGGGACTCGGCTAATACTTGCTGGGGGTGGGGTATGGTGGGGTATGTTGGGGAGGGAAGGGCACTTGTGGGAGGGATGGGAGGGAGAGATGGCAGGTGGTATCCTGGTAGGGAGGTATCTTAATTTTATGGACCACAAACCTCCAAGTGTTTGGGTCATAGATAGACTCTTCTCTCTTTTTAATTAGAAAAATATATTTTTGGACGGCTAGCTACTATTTCTCATTTGTGCTCTTCAAGAGTTAATTTGAGGAAGAAATAGTTAAGATGGAGGTTAGGCCTTGATTGAGGTGCACTTGTATACAGCAAACTTTTAAAAAAAAAATCCTAATTCATCCAATTCCCTTAAGTCCCTAGTAACAGAAGGAAAAATGGACCTTCCTCATTTTCATAAGTTTTCCAAACCTTTAGCCAATTTCTTGCTTTGGGGAGATGCTGAGCAGGCTTCCCTGAAAGCTCTAAATCCCAGAGGGGAAAAGCCCTGAGAGAATACGTGACACAGAGCACACATGGACTCTCCACCCTCAGGCCCCTCTCCTTCTTCCCCTTTCCAAGTTTCAGAGGCAAAACACCAAACGTGCACCCTAGGAAACCAGAACCAGCATAGGGGACTGATCACAATATGTAGGAAAACAGTGTAAGTGTGAGCTTTCTCTCCATGAGAGCCTGTTAAACTTTGACGATCCGTAAGCTCCCAGGTGGTGTCTGCACTTACAGCGGTGGAAGAGGAGGGATCAATTGTTTGACTCAATTGATTAAATTGTCTGGAGTTTTCAGATATGTTTTATTTTGGTCTGAAACTTTAAAAATATCCCAGGTATGATTTTCCTGAAGAACAAAAACAATGGCAAGCTCTCACTCTTATATAACAGCACGTAATTCTGAAGCTCTGTTTTAGGTCTGCTCAGATAAGCACACTCAGCTATAAAGTGGGTTTTTTCTTACACTTGAAAGCCATAAAATTATGTCCCACTTGCTTTATAAAGCTATTATGGAAGATGAAGAAGGCAGGTTTTTATCTTCTTTGTTCCACTGAATGCTTCAGTCAGATCTCATGCAGGGTAGCCCATGTAAGGGGAAGTCTGAGAGACACAGGATCAAATTACTGGAGTGAAATTGATTTTGGTTAGCAGATACCACAGCTTCTTCTCTGTGACATACTGCCCCCTTGTGGACACCAGTGTCTTAAGAGTCTTCCAAGCACGTAGGGAAATGTGCAGGGGGCACCGTTGTCAAACTAGTCATAACATCACCTATGAATATATAGGTGTTAGAACAGGAAATTCAGGTTTGCTTCTAGATTGGCCATACTTTTAAAATTTTGAGTTTGTCAGTGAATGGGGAGATGGGAACCTTTAATAAAATGACTTAACACCAAAATCTTCTGATTACAACTTGATGTGTTCTCCTGTGATATGTCCCCTCCCCGTTTTAGTTGTAGTGAGGGCTCCTTTTGGGAGGAGCTAATCTCATGCCTGTGAAACTTAGGAAAATATAGAAACTTATTATCACATGCTTCTGCACCGTTGAGCATTTAGAAAACAAGCAAAATATGGCAAGGGTAGCAGAACGTGGAGAAAGGCGTTTTCATGGTCAGGAAGGCCCCATGCAAAGACTAACTCATCAAACAGTAGTTTGCCATGGCTTGCAGTTTCCCACTTGTTGATGTTTGTTTCTGCTATGGGCCAGGTGTCATATTAAGTTATAACGAGACATATTCATTTAAACATCCACGGTCAGTTTTCCTTTCTTGTCTTCTTGATCTCGTTTAAAAATGTTTGAGCACCCTGACCAGTGTAGGTTGGGTATCGTTCTGCAAGGCAAGGGGGTCACTGGTCCCATTCCTGGTCGGGGTGCATGCCTGAGTTGCGGGTTTGGTCCCTGGTTCAGGTGTGTGCAAGAGACAACTGATTAATGTTTCTCTCTCACATCAATGTTTTTCTCTCTCTTTCTCCCTTCATTCCCTTTCCTCTCTAAAAATAAATCAATACATTCTTTTAAAAAATGCTTGAGCAGGGTTTATTCTTCTGTTCCAAGATAATCATTCTTTAAAAAAAGAACCTTCTTTGACCCCATTTTGCAGAAGAGATCAGATCCATCAGTAGCAATAAAGAACACAAGTATCAACTTCCTGAAAGAGGCTCTCAGAATGATAGATTATTTTAATTGCTTAGCCTAGTCTAGTTTCCAAATGGCCCTCCTTGGCCTCTCCAGTTAAGAATTCATGACTCCTTGTGCAGAGGCCTCTTCCCAGCGGAGAGAGACACAGATCGAAGAAGAGACGGTGGCAGCCTCTTCTTCGTTCTCCATAGGCACTGCAGCTCTTTCCACTTTTTAATTTAAACATTGTCATCCCTTAGAAACACTGCTTAGCAGTGGCTGGCTCAGGAGTGAAGCCTTTTTTTCATTCAATCAGTAATTCATTTCTTCAGCGATCTTAGTGAATGAATGACTACTAGTGGCCAGGCACCATGCTGGACAGCCAGGTAGGGGTACGTGGAGGGGGGTGGAAAGCAAGGTGACGAGATGCTGTTCTGTCCTCAAGTGGCTCCCAGGCTGGAGGGAGACATGGAGCCTTTCTATTGCCCATGCTGAGGAAGAGTTTGAAGAACCAAGGAAAGGCGGCCAGAACCAGCTAGAAGGATGGGGGAAGACTTCCCACAAGCGAAGGTGCCACAACAGAATCTAGGGACAATTAGAGTGGCAGGTGAAGGGGCTGGGTGCTAGGGAAAGATCATGATATCGAGGCAGAGGGAGCAGCGTCTGCAAGTTTCGAGGTTCAAAAGAGGCGTTTGGGAGGCATGTGTATTCTGTGTGGTGGTACATGGGAGGTGAGTCACGGTGATGGGTCACACTGTGGGGGGCGGCCTGGTGTGCCAAGCAGAAGAGCTAGAGGGAGTTAATGAATGACTCGGAGAAGCAGCACCATTCTAACACATAATTACATTTGTGTCTTAGGAAGCTCTTTGTGGCTGCCTTGGGGCAAAGGGATTTATGGATGGCCTTGAAGGGGATGTCAAGAGGCCACTATCCTCAGGGTTGAGAGTGATGAAGTGTGGAACTCCACTGTTAACTGAGTTGGAGGAAAGGGTGAATTCCCAGGGTGATTGGCTGTCAGGAGTGAGGGAGGGGGAGCAGGGAGGAAAACTCCAGAGCTGCTTTGGCCGGGGCGAGGAGAAGCAGATCAGAGGGGAAGGAAGAGGATGAATCCAATTGTACAGCTGTTGGTTTGCAGTTCCCAAGGGTTCCTCACGAGAGTCTGTGCATCTCAGGACAGAGGACTTGGCTGGATATGGAGTTGGAGGCATCACTTTGGAATCATGGGTGGGAAGTAGGTTATTCTCTGAGGGAGAAGATAGAAGGAGTAAAGACAAAAATCTTGGGAACATGTAAGACATGAGAGGAAAAGCAGTGGAGATGTTAGCTAAGGAAGAATTGTAAGACAGATGCCAACATTGTTGGATGCCATAGAGAATTCAAGAAAGATAAATATGGAAGAAGGTTGATTTGAATTTTGCAGTAAAGGAGGGATTGTGGACTTGAGCAAGGTGGTTTTGGTGGAGTGTTATGGGTGGAAGCCCCGCCACGTGGACAGGAATTTTCAGGAAGCAGGGTTGCAGGAGGAGGTGGATTCGCAGTTGTAATGACATGGAAGCATGTGTCAATAATGTCAGTCACCTGTAGTAACTGATTTAGGGATTCATGAAGCACCCCTTTTGTTTGGTATTTAAAGTTTATACACACTTCATGGGGCTGGGCCCTGAAAGAGCCTGCCTGGCTTTCATTATCTCCTCTTTCCTAACACATAAGAATGAAAGAGAGGAAAGAAGTCAAGAGTAGGGCCGGAAAGAGAATGGAGGAAGATCAGAGAGTTTCTGAGGTTACTCTTAACTGCAAAATTCTAAATCAACCCAGTGCTGCTTCTTCTGTGTCCTATAGTCAACCAGCTAATGCAGGTAGAGAACTTTACACATTTCTTTTCATTGGTGGGGGCTCCTGCCTGCTCAGCTGTGTGGCGCAGATACCTATCTCTCCCACCCCCACCTGCTGCTCTACCCATTAGTCTTCGAAAACTCCCCATTGCTGCATCCTTATCTTCTGCATCTGCCCTCGTCTCCTGCTCTACAGAGGAAACTGAAGTCGTCAGGCAGGAGCCCAAACCTCTCTTCAGTTTCTCACCTCTTGCAAGTGGTGCCCCTACTCTTTTCTCTCGCAGAGAAAGCCATGTCCCCTACTTGTCTCCAGGCTGGCCCTTCGAGCCCAGCTCTCTCCTCTTCTAACTTTTCCTTGAACTGTGGTTTCCCCAACACCGCTCCTTACCCTCGAAACTTCCTTAGGCAACCTCATCTCCTCTCACAGCTTTAAAACTGGCCTTGTTGCTCCTGCCCACAAATTCTCTATCTTGATCTAAATCTATCTTCTGAGTTCTTAGACTGCTGGACTCCTCACTTTGGGGGTTCCATGGAACTTTCAAATGCAGCAGGTTAATTCATCTTTCATCAACTAAGACTGTTCCACCTTGTGTATTGCCCTTATTGGGTAATAGCATTATCACCCACAAAAGCCATTGGCCTAGGAGTAAATGCCTTATATCTAAGTTCTCCTTATACTTAAGCCTGTATATCCATTGGCCCTTTTCTCAGGTCTCAGTATTTCCCTGTGCATTCCCTGTTTGCTGTTCCCTCCGCCATTGCCTTAGTTCAGTGCATCATTTCCTGCCTGGTCTTGCTGTGGTCTAGCCAGCCTTCCTCTTCCAGTTTCTCCATTTTCAGCCCTTTCTTCACCACAAGTCTGATCATGTTTTCTGTCTGCTTTAAACCCTTTCAAGTGGTTAAACTTTGATTTCAAAATAAAGTTTAGCCTCCTTTGCTTCTGAACCCTTCCTGACTGATCCTTGTCCACCCTTCCAGCTTCAAGCTCTTATAAGCTTCCTTCCAGCTGCAAGCTCTTATAAGCTTCCTCAGGCATCCGGTCCACCACCCACCTGTCCTGAGTTCTTGCCATTCCTCCACCAGCCTGTGCTCCTCCTGCATGGAGCTTCTCCCCCAGCTCTGCCCAGGGAGCTTCTGCTCATCCTTCAGCATCAGTCAAGCTTGTGACAAAACCTATGAAATTTGCTTACCAAAGAATGCATTTTTTCCCCCCCACATCAACCTGTTAGCTTAGAGCCACAATATTCCTCATTTTTATACTTTAGATGCTTCCTGGATACTGTTATTACCTGGTTGTGCTTAATTTAGAACAGGTTCGTGTTATTCTCAGATCACTGTCTTTCAAAATAATCAAGGACGGTAAAGCCCATTTATTGTGAGTTTAGATGTAGTTCAATAAGAATGAAAGTGCCACATTATTATAAGAGAATATGAAAGTTGACTTAATTGCCAAAGCAAAAAGAAGAGTAAATAGAAAACATTTAGTGTGAATATTTTTAAATTATTTACTAGAATAAATGTGAGATTAAAAAAAAATTATTGATTTTTAGAGAGGAAGGGAGAGAGAGAGAGAAACTTGGATTTGTTGTTCCCTTATTTATACATTCATTGGTTGATTCTCGTGTGTCTCCTGATCAGGGATAGAACCCACAACCTTGACTTACTGGGGCAATGCTCTAACCTACTGAGCTATGCGGCCAGAGCAGATGGGAGATCTTTTATATCAAAAGCTCCATTGACTACTCTGACAGTACATATTAATTAGTTACCATTGTGATATACTTTTTCCTCTGTTCACCAAAATCTATTTCTTGACTCCTTGATACTTTATTTTAAGGAGACTCTTAAAAAAGAGGTACTCAAATCTTTCTAACAAGACTTGTCGGCATTGCTTTTAAAAAGTAACAAGAGTTATGACTGCCGTACAGAGAGTGTGTTAAAATTGGTGGTAGGATCTTTCAGTAAGCATTAGGAATGCTTAAAACTTCTAGAGAAATCTAGTTTTTTCCCCTAATTTTTATTTTTATCCCTTAAAAAAAGAGAACAACATAAACTGGTAAAAATTTCCATGCCTTTTAGAGCTTTTTTTCCCTTGAGGTGGAAAGTAGCTGTAACTTACTATCATCCCTTGTGCTCTCTCTGTAAAAATATTTTTTACTCTTCTAATTATTTTAAAGTGGCCATTACAGCTATATCAACCAGCACTAGGAGTAGGGGTGACTGCTAATTTATCTTTATTGCTCATTATGAGGAAAAAAAACTAAATATCTTAAGCCTGTACACCCACAGCTACATTTTTCTCAGCCTTCGGTAAGAAACCCTTTAATTTGTATCTACCAACGCTATTAACCATAAAGACATTGCTGCAGTTGCACAGGTTCAGAGAACAAGATCAGCAAAGGCGTGGGTATTGCAGCCAGCACATAACACATGAACAGTGAATAGCTGCTTAACTGTCCATACTTATGACATAGGAACACCTGGACAGATGAGAAAGCCCCTCCAGATGCAAAAAAATGATTCTACCAGGTTCCTTTGGTATTTGTATCCACTTTAGAGTTCTGGAGAGCAAACTGAGGCAGAGAATTGACTTTCTGGAGGGTGAATCATGAATGTAGTATTTATAATTTATATACTTTACAATAAACGTGAATAGGTAAACTTACTCCCTAATCCTTTCACAAAGACAAAAGGCTTCTTTAAAAAAAAATCCTTTGATATCATGAAATATAAAATGCATACACAAAGTGTACAAAACAGAAATGTGCAGCTTGATTAACAGAACATGTCACTGTGTAACCATTGCTTTGATCAAAAAAGAGAACGAAGCCAGCACCCCCTGCACTGCCGCCTCCTCCCACCGCCCCTGAAGGTATGCACTGTGCTGCCTAAACCCCTTTGAAAGTGGGCGTCTGCTTGTTTTCTGTGGGGTTGCCTAAGAGAGCTGGAGCAAGGCCGCGGGACTAGGAGAGGGGCCGGTCGGGGGGTGGGCGCCAGGCGGGGTTTGGTGGAGTTGAAGCGTGGCACCAGTATCTGGATCTGCTACCATGTCCCTCACAGGCCCGAAGTCCAGACATCCCCCAGGGCCCGTTGTCGTATCTGCCATGCAGACTGCTCTGTACCAAAACTACAATGATTCTGTTCCTCCAGAGTGTCCTCAGTTCTGAACCACTCACTGGAAATTGACCCTGTGGAGCGGCTATGTATCTAATGCGCAGTAGTAACTTGTTTCCACACACTTCCAGGACGTTAGCTTATTGCCAGTGGGTGGACAATCTCAATGAGACCCGGAAGATGCTCTCTCTTAGTGGTGGTGGTCCCTTCAGCAACCTGCTGAGGTGGGTCGTGTGCCACATAACGAAAGGAATTGTGAAACGCGAGATGCATGGCCACGGCATTGGCCGCTTCTCAGAGGACGAGATTTACATGCTGATGGAGAAGGACATGCGCTCTTTAGCAGGGCTTCTGGGTAATGTACCACACCTTCTATTCTATATTTTCTAACCTTTTTGCATGATTAGTAAAGAACTGTTAGCTTATGGATTTAAAGTGTGATTTTGGTTGGTCGCTTTGCATCCACTTGTAGGCTGCAGCCCCACCATGGGTTTAACTGTGCTCGGGAAGCCCCTCCCAGGGAAGCTGTGGTGTCGGTGGGCATGGGCGGGAGAGGAGGCTGAGAGGGGGGTGACCCGCCCTCGCTCACCTGATTGGCTTCAGGTAGCTGGGCTGATGTGAGTGTGAGCTAGGCAGAGCCTGAGTCTTAGCTGTAATGATTCTTAAATATCATTTGAATTTAGGAGCTTCTATGTGTGAAATGATGGCCTCTCCTGGGGACAACGAATGTTTAGGGAGCCAGGCTCTCTTCTGCGACTAGTCGTATGTCCTAGTCCTTCGGGGCTGCTGATTCTGTTTGAGGAAGATGGGTTTTCATGGCCCTCTCTCGGCACCCTCGTCTCCATTGTGGAGCACATTAGGTACCTCGCCTCTAGGAAGTGGGGTTTGGGATTTGTTTTGTTGGAACCCGCCTGGCGCCCCAGGAACTGGGGGCTGTGCTGGGTGTAACCTGCCCCCTGCAGGGTGACCCACTCTGGCTCCTTCCTGCGCCACATTCCAGATGCCTCTTGGACCTGGAGTCCTCCCCTGAACCCCAGCTTGCAGGGGGAGATCCCGATAGCACATCCCGCACTCTCATCCAGTCTCGGCCAGCTTTGTTATATGGGGGTGCATGGGGGGCGATGCTGGCTGGGCTCCTACTCTAAGCAGACATTGGAAAGCACGGCCTGGCTTGAAGACTGACACTGTCTGGACCTTCTGGCGCTTTTCCTCTCTGAGCCCGGGTTGGCCTGCCTGATGTAGATATGAGTGGAATTAGCCTCAAGTTTGTCTCATTCATTAGGAATGTCGGACTGGACCCCCAGCCTCACGGAGCAGGTGTGCAGAGGATCATTGCCTCCTTAGCAATAGCTCTGCCTGCCCCTGGCTTCTTCCCCTTCCTCATGAGCTCAGCTGTTGGGCGCCCCAGCAAGCTAGGCACTGAGCCCTTGAAGTTAGGACAGAGATTATGTCAGTGAAGTGCTGCTGATCTCTCACAGCTTTACCGTGTGGCTCTTCAACCAGAGAGGGGTGATCTTGACCTTTCTGGAGCATTTCGGATTGGGAGAACCAGGACCAGGGTCCTAGCTGTAATAAGGATAATTGCCGATACCAATGTTTTTCTGGCACTTAATGACTTAGAAAAATGCTTTCTCCCCAATTGTGGTGAGTTGAGAGGTGGATGAATCATCAATAGCTAGGCTGGATGCCTGGCAAGCGTTCAAAATAGCATCACACGTCTAGATGAATTTCTGCAATGAGAAACTGAGTGGGTTGCTCAAAAGCTGAGGTAGCCGGAGTTAGATTCTGTACGGGGGCCCAGGGAGCAGTCCGCTCTCTCATAGAAGCACTTTCCTTGCATTGGGGACAGGCTCTTTGGCTGAACATCAAAGTTTTTCTTACTAAATAAGGCAAAATTATCTACTTCTCCCTTTATCCAGGGATATAACTTTTATTGCCCAGATGCCTAAGAGACTCAAAATGCAAAATGACTTTCTGTTGAAATTGTTCAAGATTTGGGGAAATTGTCCATGGATGTATTTGATTCATCACGATAAAATAGATATTGTTATTTCTGTTTTACTGTCGTCAATGATTTGAACACCTCTATGTCCAGGAGCTGGGGAATAACAAAGGTGAATTAGAGGTCATCCCCACTCTCAGGGAGCTTACAGTCCAGTGGGAGAGATGAAACTCTGAAGTATGAGTAAGCAAATTAATGGGCTCGCTGGTGGCCTGCTATTTTTATGGCCTGTGAGTTCAAAATGGTTTTTACATTGTTAAAATATAAGGGCAAAAATGAAACCGATATTAAATATGGCCTGGGAATCCTAGAATGTTTACTGCCCAACCCTCTGGAGAAGTCTCTGGGCCCCTGCTCTAAAAGTGACCATGCGCAGGTGGGGCTGGGGCAGGTCACGTGATAGAGGCCTACACTCGGGGCTTTGGGGACCCAGCAGACGGTGGGGAGAGCTGGGGAGGGCCATACAGGAGGTTGCAGTCATGTGAGCCCAAGAAGGTAAACAGTCGTCCTAATGAAGAAAATAAGGAAGGACCTTCCGGGCAAATCATGAGAATAGGACTTATGAGTGAGGGGCATTTCGGGACAAAAATGGTTGGAATGAACATTAAAAGGTGGTTGGAGCCATGTTATAAGGGATGAGAATTATGCTACGAGGTAGGTACTTTAGCATACAGAAAACGTGGAGGTTTCTGAGTGTAAGAGAAAGAGCTGTAGCTGTGACTTTGAAAGTGGCTCTTCTGGCGCCATAGAGGATGGATTAGGCCCAAGGAGGAGGCAGTAGAGACTGGAGACAGGCAGTGACTGTCTATGCATGTGGTTTAAAGAATTCTAATTCAAATGAAAATAAAAAAATAAATCTGGAATGAAAATTAAAGTTAGTTACCTTTAATTTCTAGTTACTTTTAATTTTGGTGTATAAAATAGTCTTCACATCCTGACCAATTAAAAACAGAATTGAAAATATGATTTGAAATATGAAACACATTAATAATACTTGCTATGAATAGCTAGGAGGAAGACCATAATTCTCTGACCACTGAAAAGGTATTTGATGATGAAATCCAGTATCTGTTTCTGATAAAAACTATTAGTAAAAGAGACTTGAAAACTAGTTTATTAACATGAGGAAAGGATTCAGCCAATAGCCGGCGGTACAGTTCATGATGAGCCACAAGGATCATCTCCACCAGACCAAGGATGCCTGCTCTCACTAGTTAGTGTAGTTTGCAGAGAGCCTGTCAATGAAAGAAACATGAAAAAAAGATATCTCCAGTGTTGGAAAGAGCAGACAAAGTGATTAACTACAGAAATTAAGGGATTATGTAGCTAAAAGAATGGGGAAACAACTACAGGGATTACTGTTAATGAGAGAACTCAGTAGCTGCAGGTTAATATGACAATTTTTTTGAGCATCCAAATAACAAGTTAGAAATATAATTTTAAACATTTCACTCGCTACAGCAATAACATTTTAAAGCATTAGAAATATGATTTATGAGCCCTGGCTGTTGTGGCCCAGTGGGTTGGGTGTTGTTCCGCAAACCGAAAGGTTGCTGGTTTGATTCCCGGTTGGGGCACGTGCCTGGGTTGTGGGCCAGGTCCCCGGTTGGGGATATGCGAGAGGCAAACAATCAGTGTTTCTCTCACACATTGATGTTTCTCTCCCTCTCTTTCTCCCTCCCTTCCCCCCTCTCTAAGAATGAAAAAAGAAAAAAATCTTAAAAGAAAGAAATGTGATTTATGAGAAATATTCATTACCTACAGAAATAAAATCAAACAATCCTAATAAGAGGTAGGCTATTTTTTTTTTTTAAAGAAAGTGGAGAGTGTACCTTCATTCATTCATTCATTTGTTCATTCAAGATTGATGTCTCTAGAGCCAGAGTCAAAACCCAGTTCTGTCCTTCACTGGCTTTGTGAAGTGGAGCAAGTTTCCAAACTTTTCTGGGCCTCAGTTTCCATATGTGTAAAGTGGGGACAATAATGGTGAGAAGAAAACTAATATACGTTAAGTGCTCAGACTAGTGCCTGCCATGTAGCAAGCAAACAGAAAATGAGCAAATGTAAAATTCGGTTATGACGGGGGTCAGGAAGGAGCAGGTCACCGTGCTGTGAGCCTGCAGTGCAGGGTTGTCTCCTCGTCAGTGCTGTTCCCTGTTTGTTTTGCACATTCCCACGTCTCCTTTGGGAAGGTATGTGTGTTTAAAGCAGAGATTCCATGTATGCAGTGATTGACTCATTTTCACCTCATGCAATGCATACACATATTGTCTATTTCCATCCCCCTCCCAAAAGGATGAGAGTCAAGAAGAGTATGGAAAATGTAAAAGTCAAGAACAAAAATAAAAAAGGGTTGGGTTTTGGGGAAGCAGTGTGGGCAGAGGCAAGAAGCCTGGTGGCCCTCACATGAGAGAGTGAGCTCTGCATTCAGATCTCCTGTGTTCATCCCTTGGACCCTACCAGTTATTAGCTGTCTGACTTCGTATGAATAACTTGTTTTTTCATCTGCAAATGGGGTCAGGACAATAACTACATCATAAGGTGTGAGGACTAAATGAGAATTTAAGTAATGTACTTACTGTAATGACTGGCACATCATAAATGCCAAATAAGTACTAGCTATTCTCATTATCACTTTCACAGATTTTGTGTGTAATGTAACTACTTTAGGAACATTGCGTTCTGGTGGGGGGGAAGGTCTTTGGGGGAAAAAAAAACCTTCTAATTTTTTAAAAAAAGATTTTATATATTTTTAGAGAGAGAGGGAGGGAGAGAAACATCAATGTATGGTTGCTTCTCATGCGCCCCTCACTGGGGACCTGGCCTGCAACCCAGACGTGTGCCCTGACTGGGAATCGAACCGACAACCCTTTGGTTTACAGACTGACACTCAATCCACTGAGCCATACCAGCCAGGGCACCTTTCTTCTGATTTTAAAATTTATTATTTAATTGTAGAAATCTGGGAAGGTTCAGAAAAGCACAGAGAAGGGAAATGTCACCCCAATCTTATAACCTATTACTAACCACAGTTACCATTTCGATGCATATCTTTCCAATATTTTTATGCATAATTTTGAATTATATATGTACGTTTGTGTGTGTGTGTGTGTGTGTGTGTGTGTGTATATATATATATATACACATATATATATATATATATATAAAATTTCTTGACCTGTCTTCCCCCACTTAATATATTGCAAGTGGTTCCTTTTGCTGTTAGGTGTTCAGCACCAATCAGTTTTATGTATCTGGGAGAACTCCTGATGATGATCTAAGACTCATCAGCCAAACTGCACTTTGCCCTCTGCTTCTTTTATACTTTTGTTCTGTTATTAATCCTGAATCTA